CCAAAAGTTGCTGGAGAAGAATTTAGAACTTCTGGGGGGACATAAGTAGTTGTTCCAACAAACGTACAAGCTTTATCATCTGAAAAAGGAGATAAATGAGAACAGTTTAACACATTACTCAATCACAATATTGATATATTCCTGACCAGTGTGATAAATTTACCAGATGATGCATTAGGAAGGATTGTAATCTGACTATCCTGCATGGGCTCCACACTACCAAAATTAGCAATTTTAATATGTCCTTCAGCAGTGAGTAGCAGGTTCTCTGGCTGCATTTGAGAAACTATTAGCATTTCCCATATTGCCTATAAAACAGTGCATTATGGAGTGAATTACCTTAATTGAGTCATGTCGCGAGTCTTGTGACTGATTGAGGATACATAAGCAATATAGAGCTAGTCATCAGAAACTAGAAAAGTGTGTAATCTAGAAAAAAGATAAAATTATTACATCATAGTCCAACAAAATAATTGCTAGAGACAATTGTTAAGAAGTTTTGATGATTTTACACTAGGAAAAGTAAAATATGTATCCCGATATTGTTGAATGAAATTATTTACTTACCCTGGTTATTTGATCAAAAAGTTCACCACCTTCACAGGACTCAAGTGCCATGTCTTCACATATAATAAAATGTGCCAATGTCAGATAACAAACCCAGTTAGTTAAAAACCAAACATAACAAAGGAAGGAAAAAGAACAAAAAAAAAAAAAGGCAGGAAAAAAAAAAAAAAAAAAAAAAAAAACAGGTTTTTGTGTGAATTTGGACAAATGAAATTTCAACTACACTTGAACCAAAAATACCTACATAGAGAAAAAGTATCTTGAAATGTAAAAAAGAGCCGCACAATGCCAGGATGATCCAACAAATCTAGCACAATACGCTCCAACTTCACATAATTGGTTTTGTTTTCTTTCGTAATAAATTTTTTATCCATGATCTTCAAGGCGTATACAATTCCTGAGTCTTTCTTCCTTGCTCGCACCACCTGGTGAAAACATTGATTGGAAGTAAGCAAATCTGAATAACACAAGTTAACAATGATATACCAAAAAAGAGTACAAGAAGACAAAACTGAAAAACTCTAGATATACAAGTTAATGTATGTCAATAACAAAATGGATGAATTCTAACACAAAATGATACCCATCAATACAAATACACCAATGGAAATCTCTTTGGTTGTTGGGCTGTGGATATTTGCAAAGAAAACTATCAAAAAATTAAAAATCAGCAGAAAGCCCAAAAAATTTACCAACCAAAAAAGTCTAGAAAACTAAAAATAACAAAAGTTTTTCATTGACACATTTTATCAAACATTTAACATGCAAGGAAAATGGTACAATAAGAATCGCAATATCAACAAGTTATTCCAACAAAAAAAATCCATAAAAAAATTTATGTCAGTAGGATAAGAATCAATCAACGAACTACTCATCAGGAAATACTACCCTCAACTACAAATCGGTCATCATCAATATGCATAGGAGAGCACCAACGAACTAGTCACCAGCACCAATTTTAGAAACTGTTTTGACATTTTCTATAAGGAAAATGTAATAGAGTGACAAAGATAATGAGATTCAATCAAAAACTAGAGAGAAAGGTCCAAATCTCATAGAGCAATTTAGAGAATACATGAAATTCAATAGGAGAGATTGAGAGAGTAGATTTGATATTACCATACTAGCAGATCAGAGAGATAGAGAGAGCAGATCTGATCGGATAGAGAACAGATCCGAGAATAAGATCTACATCTCTACATCGTTGAGCTTGCTTCTACTCATTGTTGTTAACGATCCAGATCCAACGCTGCTAGCTTCTCCTGTACGTGATCAGAGACATTAATACGGCACTCATAACCTAGATAAATCGATTTGGAAAGAGAAAATACAAAACAGAAGAAAAGAAACTAGAAATCAACTATAAATCGTTAGTTTCAGCCATGAAAGTTTACAGATCTTATGTGAATGTAGCAAATCCATATCAGAAAACTCTAACCTTGAGCCTTAGATCGACTTAGATAAGAGGGATTCAAGCGATATTACTGAGATACACTCAAATCAAGTACAGAACAAGAATTTCCAGATCATACAACCAAAGAATCCATGGAGATCGAAGATCCAAGGCCTGATTTCTCTCTTTGCCCCTCTCTCTCTCTCTCTCTCTCTCACACACACACACACACAAAAGTCACGCCTCTGTTCTCTTCTTTTGATCAGAAACCTGCCTTTTCAATCCCAAACAAACGTTATTTCACAGCTTTCTATTAACGGTGCACAAAACGAGATAAAATAATTAAATTGGCTGAGAAGGTAAAAAATCATAAAAAATTTCACAACATTTTTAAAAAACGCCAGGAAAAAAAATGTGGTAATATCCTATTTTTCTTGTAGTGGTTTGATTAGATGGATTAGAGTATGAGATTGTGATTATTAATCTGTGAGTCTAATTATCCTATGTTTTAGGATTATTAATTCAATGGATAATTAATCCAACAAATTTGTAAGATTATTAGTAATGGGATAGGGGTGGGATTATTAATCCAATGAATGATTTATCCTATTAATCCAATTGGATAGTGAATACCACACTAATATGATAGCATTATTAATACCTCACTATTAGTCTTGTGAATCAAACATAACCTAGGGCCATGTTTGTTTGGATGGTCATGAGCTTGAGATTAGACTAATATTCCAATAAAATTATTAATCCGATGTTTGGTTAAACAATTGAAGTACAGGCTAACAATCCATCTGGATATGGTATCTCACATATGATGGATTATTCAATCCCACAGAGGGGGGTGGGACATAAATTGAAAGACTAAGCCAAAGTCTGGACTATTAGTCCTCCTTATAATCCTAACTCAATCCAAACATAAGATAGGATACACAATCCAAAGGATTCGTAGTCCTAGGACTATTAGTCATGGGAATACTAATCCAACCTAATCCAGTCCGTTCAAACAAACATGGCCTAATAGTATTAGATGGACCCGATCTTTAAGAAAAAAAAAAATAGTATTAGATGTTAATTTATTTCTCATTCTTCAAATGGATGAATGATCTTCTAACATGATTTGTGATTTTTCAAAAATATCACATTAACAATTCTAGTTGATATTTTAAAGCTACCTAATCATCATTCTACGTGCGTCTGGTTTCTTTAAGAAAGAATCCCAAATTTAGCATAATACATTCTTTAAAAAAAAGGGTAAATTACACTTACCTCCCTTGAGATTTCTGATAAATATAGAGACCTCCCTTATAGTTTCAATAATTACAGAAATCTCCCTTACTTTAACTGACAATATCAAGATTTTCTCAATCCGTCAATTTACACAAATGACGTTACTTGATTATACAAAATGACATATTGCCTTTTCATTTGAACACGAAAAGATGAAAATATCATTTAATTCCTATATCTCTCATACCTACCCCACCAACACCACGCTCTGCCCCCCTCTCTCTTTCCTCTTGCCTCATTTCTCCTACCTATAATCTCCCCGGCCACTAACAATACAATTGCATCTGGCGATCCAAAAGCCCACCAGCGATTATTCTCCTCAACCCCCTTCCTTTAATGGCGACCTCTCTCCTTCACCGCCTTTCCTCCTCTCTCCTTCCCGTCGCCCTTGCTATGTTATGAAATGGTGGAGTTGGATTCTTTAATCGCTCACTCTTGAAAACATTGATGTCTTATCTGTTGAAGCTTTTATTATCTGTTTAGAAATAATTGCTTGGGCTATCGGTGGAGGGTAGTTTTGATTGTCGTAGACAATGCATGATGGTTAGGCAAACTAAAACTAATCAATTGGTTATGTCATAGAGTATGACGGTTGATAGAGTACATTAACGCTATGTATGATTGATTGTGTATATGACCTATGTGTATATACATTGTGTAACCAGAGGTGTTTGGTTGAGGTTCACTGGCCACCGCACCAGTCTATTTCTCTGTGGACTCGTTCAATTCTGGAAAGAGCGTGAGCAGACCACGGAAGGAGGAGGCCATGTTCTGGGTAGCTGGGACGGAAAGAAGAGGCCATGTTGCTGAGTGTTTCAACGAGACGGTTGGTTACAAAGTATTACAGAGTTTCTCTCTCAGTAAAGGAAGAGTTTTTTTCAGAGGATTTTCAAGAAGTTTTTGTCTGCCTCAGCCTCAGCATCAACCTTGGTTAAATAGACGGGGCTAGCCACGCGTATCGCGCGCACACTGACCGCCAGACGACAAACGGCGCGCCACCAAGGCACTACGTGCCTCGCCCATCAGTCCGGCACATCTTTTATGACTTTGGCTCGCCTTTGATGGCACGTCTTTTTAGTGGATTGGCACGCCTTTTGATCGCACGCCTTTCTTGAAAGATTGGGGCACACCTTTGAGGTCTGCGACTTTTTAGGGTCCGACAAGACTCTGTAAATCATGTCCCACTTTATGATTCGCCGTTAGCTGCTACATTCGTCCAACATTGACCCTATAAATCTGTCTTTTACAACGGTTCTGACACGACCACACAGTTGCCTGCTACATCGGTCGACATTGACCCCGTAAACTGTTCTTCTACAACGGTCCGACATGACCCATAACTGTGTTCTACATCGGTCTGACTACACCCCACGTAGTGTCTCTTACATCCGGTCCGGCATGGACCTTGAAACTGTCCTGCTACACGGTTCGACATTGACCTCGTTAATACTAGGCTGCTTACAACGTCCGACATACCCCGTAACTGCCTGCTACACCGGTTCCGACATGACCCCAAACACGTGTTCTGCTTACATCGCGTCCTGAACGACCACACAGTGTCTGCCTTACAACGGTTCCGACATGACCCCGTGAAACGTCTGCTAGCAACGGTCCGTAACGACCATACAGTGTCTCCTATCCCATTTTACATTTTATTGTCAGCTTTATTTTTCTGTTTGTTACTCTCTCCATCAACTTCAAGTTGTCTATACCTATCCTCCTTGAGTTTGAGGGGCTGTTAATGTAAATGATAATTACTACTACACCATACCACCAAATCCTACCCCACCTACGACTCCTATCACACTACTACACTCCACAAACTCTACCTCCACAGCTCACTCCTCACCTACCCAGAACTCATCTCCATAAGATCTTGTAATCAGAATTTTTACATTATTAAGAACAATCTTGTATATATCTATCATAATCATTAAATCAATAATATACATCAATTTAAATTTAACAAATTACTTGAAGGAAAATAAAATATATAGTCCGTGATGAGTGTATGTTTTCACTTTGATTCATGGATTACCAAAGCAACACCTTAGACGAAGATTTTCAAATTTTGAACTTCTTAGAATTGTGGATGAAGGTTTAGCTTATGAGCCTTGAGAAGATGGAGGTTACCTAGTATAACTAAAGATCACCAAGAGGTGTGAGGAAGAGAGATGTAGTCAATTTTGATAATAATGATGGACTAATATTAATTAAATGATCATCAAAAAGTTTACGGTTCCAAATTTGATTCTCTTTTGCTTGTGGTCTGTTGATCTGCTGCTTATCACTGGGTGTAATTTCTGGCCCTATTACCTGTGCGCATGATCTTAATGGCAAATAGATACCTCATGTTGGACCACATGACCTTTCTGTAAGGTTATAGTATGTGAGTCCTACATCTATTTTGGCACCACAACACGAATAAAGGGTTTCTTGCAGGTCACATTACTGTTATGTGTGTAACATCAACTCCTAATTATGTACTTCGCTTGACTATGGTTGTTTTAAAATGGAGTAAAGCATACCATGCCAATAATACTCTACGTTTCCATAAAAACACAAATTTCTATTGGAAATAAAAGAAGAATATATTAAGAAAAACCGATTATTGCTGTCACTGACTAGCTGGGCTTGATGAATTTGATGAATCGCGTTCAAAGACACATATATGGAGTTTATCATTATTACTATTCCATCTGATATTATTATGGCTGTTTGTCAATGATGACAATCATCTAAAAGTTATGTGATGATACACATGCACATTCTGTTGAATTTCTCTAATCATTCAACTTTTTATTTTTTTTTAGGAAAACTTCAATGAAGCATTATTCTGTAGAAATTTCCATTATGGTGGATTACGAATCGCCTGTAGAGGATCCACATGTTAAAGCAAATCTACTTTTCAGGTCAGCATCTCTTTTATTCATTATCTGACACAAATAATGTGACATTTACCATAGTTCTTGTATTTCTTGTTGTTTTCTTTTTTGGTTAAATTTTTCCCCCCCTACATTTATTCTCTTTTCTTAATTGAGCATGTGTTGGTTTAGCAGGCACACTTTTCGCAGTTAGAATTACCACATCAGCGACTATATCACAGACTTTAAAATCAGTGTTAATCAAAGTATACGTGATCAAACAGCCATGATACATATGTGCTAACCTGGATTGCTTTCAAGCACAATCACTTTGTATGCATCTTCTGCAAATGGTCATGCAGGTATTCCTCCCTGTAGTTCCATTAGTCCTTTTTCACAGTAGAATGAAGGATGTGGTAGAAGGAAGAGAGAAGCTGATACCAATCTCTGGTCTGCCACTATAGAAAAGAGACAGAAGCTTATTTATTTATTTTTATTTCCCTTAAAACAAGTCATCTTTGGGGACTCTCTCTCTTCCAATAATTCCGCCCATTACGTAAGCTTTTATTTTCTATGATCTTGTGTTCTAAGGTTATGTCTATGTTAGAGAACCTACTTCTCCGCAGCTCAGGTGCTCATCAGATGCATCTAATTTCTTTGAGAACTGTATGCTCGTAGTAATATCTTCTTTTAGTACTCATAAATGATTTTATAATTGTACAACTCAAAGTCATTATCCCATGTGGCCCCTTCGAATATTTTGGTTCTTCCAACAGTTTTGAATGAACAACTTAGATCTGATTTTCTTCCTCAAACTTTGATGTATACCATCATATTCATGTTCAAAATAGATGTGTTTTATTGATTGATATTTTGATGTTATTACAATGATTCCTTATATATGAAGAGAGATGTGGGAAAGAATAGTGAGGTTGTAGTAGTTACGGAGTAGGTGAGTGTAGTACGTATTGGAGTAGTGAGAGAGTAGGTCAAGATAGCGTGAAGTGGTGATCGTAGTAGTGGTAATGGT